GTAACGTTCTCTTGTATGTTTACTAAGCTTTGGTGCACTTGGTGGCCGTGGACTCAATTTTTTCATCGTAGGGCACCGTTCAATGGTCAAGTCCTCTAATGAAGGGAATGCAAGTTCATAGTTCTAAGAGCAAAACATTTGAATACTTGAAAGATTCTTGAGTCATAGACATTTCATATTAGGGAACACAATTATGGTTTTCATTCCTTCAACTGTTTTAATCTCTGAAGTGCCTTCTTCTTCTTCTTTTCCAATAATCTCTTCAATTGATCCACATTTCCAAACATGTAGAATGTTCAAAGCCACAAGAGAATTGACCATTGAAGGTGAGAATAAGTATATTAAGCTCTTACAATGTTCAACTGTAAGATTTGTCAAATTTTGGAAGACACAAATTCTTTCAGGAACCAACCTTGTAATGTGCACCAATTTTGGTAGTGAGTACAGCTGCAATCTTTTTAATCGACCAAGCATATTAATTTTTGCACATCATTAATGACCTTTATACCCTCAGAGTCGAACAATACTTCAAGTGCATTACATCCCTCCACGTAACGATTTCCAAGATTTTGTAGTAACTGAATTGAATCAGATTCTGCAATGGTCAGCAATTTATCACAATGCCACACCTCCATGTCTGTTAGTTTATGCGGAGATGTTACTGGCATTTCCTTACCTAGTAACTTTACTATACAATCCAACTGAAAAACACGCAACTGAGGGTATAAATGAAGTTGACCTGCGAAGTTCAATTAGCTGTATCTATCTATTCATTATGCCATCTATATAAATGAATTGCGGAAAGCTATGCCATTCTGTTTCTATCTATTCAATTGTATTACAAGAAATGTTCATTGTGCTGTTGACTAAATAGAAATAAATCTGAATTTCTCCTTTTATTATTACCTAATTTAATCTCGAAATTTAGCTACAAAATTTACACGCATCTTTTTTATTTCTAGGGTTAATGATTTCCTATTCTTTCAATTCTTAATTAAGACCACAGTTCTACAAAATATTTTTGGAATTTGTATGTAGGTAATTGGAATCATGAAAAGCTATAATTATTAACATAAAATAAAAGACAATCTATAAGTTAACTTTGCGCATGAGGTGCTACATTCATGTGTTTTTCAGTGCTATGCCAGCAGCCACTAGTGCAAGAGGTAGACATCCACATTCATGTGCAACTGCTTTGGCTATGCTTATGAATTCGGCATCAGTATCATCATCAGAAATCCCTGCCTTATCCTTGAAAAGTTGCCATGCTTCTTTTTCATCCAAAACTTTGATTTCGAATGTCCTTTGGGCTTCCATTGTAATACACGTTTCTTCAATTCGCGTTGTAAACATAATTTTCAACCCTCTGCGATCACGTGGAGATGGAATTCCTATAGTTCCCAAATCAATTTCTGTCCACACATCGTCTAATATTACAAGAATGCTCTTGNCTCATTTTTCCATAATCTTGATTATCTTGTTTTTCGATTTAATTGCTCAAATTCTTCTTCTTGGCTTTGACGAAGTCGTCCAGCTCTCATGTCTTTATTTGTCTTTTCTTCAATTTTTAGACCAAGCGCTTCAGCGAGTTGATCTTGAATTTTGTTTATGTCTGGATCGTTAGATACAACTGCAAATGCAACCTCCTCAAAGAATTTCTCATCTTTGGCTTCTTTGGCTATTTCCATTGCCATTGTTGTCTTACCAACTCCAGGCATGCCACAGATCCCAATTATGCCGATATCTTTGTCCTTTAGAGCTTCCTTGATTTTCTTCTTAGTTGATAACCTTGTTTCGAAACCCTCGTGGGAAGTTAGGTTCAACATCTGCACCGGCGGTCGAGGATAGCCCACCCTCTCAAATGTACCTTCCCCTTTGAGTTTATCAGCCTCAATAGTCTTCTTTGTGGCTCTCCTGCTTAATAAGTAACGAGACTTCAAATTTGGACATCTATTGAATAGACACCGCATTTCAGAACCTGCTACACTGTTGAAAATTTCGTGAGCTTTTTCCTTTAAGTCATCGACCTTTTGCAACCATGCCGAAACTTCTTCCCCGATGATTTCAGTATTTCTTTCGGCGGCACCAACCAGTAGTCTCACGTCATTTCTCTTATTTTCAAGTTCTTGAACTTTATTCTGCAAATTCTGAATGTTACTGTTGTAGAAGAACAAGTACTTGATTTGGCGCAAAACTGGATCGACTGTGTATTCTGCAAGCTTCCCAACAATGGAACAGGCTATGTCTATCATTATCGGATTACTTTTTACTTTCGATGGGTGTAATGAAATTGCAGATTATTTCCTTCGTTGCTAGTGATGATTATCTCTACAGAGTTATTGAAAAAATTACAATAAGAGAACATGGATAATTGTAAAATCTTAGCATTCTCCACAGTAAATTAAATGAGAAAATAGGAACGAGGGAAGTTGCATCTATTCGTTATCATTGCACAACCCATTGTTTTGCATTCGAAATATCAAATCACAAATTGGTAGCCCATAAAACAAATTAAAAATTTTATAGATTTTCATTTAACTTTAACATACTTTTATTGGAAAGAATAAAAATTTATATAAAACGTCTATATAAATAATTGCAAATATTTTATTTTATTGAAATTATTTATTTTAAAAGTACAATGCGTTACTATTTCAAATCAATACCTGCATGAAAAAATGATTCAGAAAACGTATAATATGTTTTAAGAATATTAGTAATCTCAATTTGAAAAATAAATAAATAAAATAAGAAAGGCATCAATACTCGTTGATAAAAGAAAAAATAAGTTTCTCACTACACAACAAAAAGAAAAGGAAACAAAAAACGGACCATGGATAAAATTTTAAAATATATAGTCAAAAAATTAATATTTATCATGACAAACTTGCAAAAAGTTATTTTTTGAAAGTTATTAAGCTAACAATAAACCAATATAAAAAAATTTAATTACAAATCAATCTACTTTTTTAATAAAATCTTATAAGAATTTAAGTAGAACGAATTTTTTTTCCCTTTTTCTTTTGTTAAAATCTTTCAAAATCTCTCGAGTGAATGCCAAACAAATTGAAAGATTTTTATTTGTATTTTTTATTCATTAGAAGTTATTAATATTTTGAATACCCCGTGAGTTTTAAGGACTTTAAAAAGTCTATGAAAAACTACATTGAATACACTTAGATATTTTAAATATGTAAAAGTATTTTAAAAACTAATGAATTTTGTTTGGCTATGTGTTCTTGGTGCATTTTGGTGCCGATCGAGTCACTATCCAGGATCAATAGATACTTCGTTTAATAAGGATGACAAAAGGACGGTACGAGAATTAAAAGATCTTCATTTAATTATTTACCTATATTTTAATTATTTTCTATTTTTGAAATACGATTGAAATTGAAAAATATGAAAATAAAATAAAAATATTCGGTATGGATAGAGCAATTCGACACACGGGCTGTGTTTTCATCCCCATCCGATTTACTATTTTGGTTAGGGTAATGCGGGTCGAGTAGAGTAGAAGTTTATCATCTGTATCGTTCAAAGGGAAGATTATTGAAAAAAATGAGAACAAAGTTTCAAATCGATTAAAAGCATGTTTGAGCCCCCAATTAAAAGGTTAAGAATGCATTTTGAAATAATAGATTGATGAAGAATATGTAATTAAAAAATAAGAAAAAAAAATTTAAGTTTGCTTGTATTGTTATTTTATTGTAGAATGTGTGATTGAAAAGAAAAAAATGTACTTAATTTAAAAAAAAAATGGAAATCAAACAAGGACTAAACATGAAGAAATGATAAACGTATAAGTAAGAGACGGACAGAAACTAAAAAGTGACTTCAACCCTAAAAGATAAAGAATAATCTTGTAGTGCTGCCAGCACTGCTTCTGTACATGTTAGGTTTATATTTTGTAACGATTCTGTAAACAAATTGACAAACTTGAACACTTATAAAAGTCTAAGGACTGAATTGTAAAGTTTCATAGTTTGTAGGTTAGCTTAGGGTTCGGGGTGCCATGTTTGGAACAAGAAGGATTCACGTCGATTTTTTGCTAGCTGCTCGCCGGAGTGCTGCTCGAGCGGATGGAACAGAGACTATCTCGCTCAACCTTGGCCCCACTGTCGCTCGAGCTAAGTATGCTCCTCGTTCGAGCGACCTATTTATGCGGTCAGACCTAATTCGTGATTTTGAACAGTTTTACACGACCATAACATCTAAACGTCCCCAACTATAAATACAGAAGTCTGGGACGAATTTCAGATGTTGCTTCATTGTACTATCATTGCAATATACATTCATATCATTGTTTGAAGATCCAAGAACTGAATTCATTGATTCATCCATTTCACTCTTGAGATCCGGCAACCAAGATTTGGGAAAATATCAAATTGAAGAATCCAAAAACACCTAACTTCCTTAACACTTCAAGGAAGGTNGTTTTGGGAAAACATCAAGATTCGTAAATCCAAAACACCTGACTTCCTTAACACTTTAAGGAAGGTACTTTCTCAATTGGACTTCAGAAGTTTCTGGAGGTTGAGAGAGGTTGGACTACAAGCGCAGGAAGAAGAACATGAATAGGTGATTCCTGGGTATCCATTTGGAAGAGACAATTGCATGAGATTATGAGTCTGGAATTTACAGCAGATCTTGGAGGCTATAGGAGGTAGATCGGGAAATCTAGCAGGGTGGTTAGATAGTATCTACGGTAGCAGATCGTGAGTCTAGAGGAACAGCTGATCTTGGGTTTCTCCGTCATCATATTGGTGTTCATTGTTTACTGCTTTCTCATTACAAACTACGGTAATTCAACTTAGGATAATTGAACTTGTTTGTTTAACCATCTAAAAACTAATTAAAAGTGCCTTGTTACTTTAGTTAGTATAATTCCGCAAGTAAAGTCGAACTTAGTTAGTAACTGCGTTTTTTCAATTGGTATCAGAGCATAAATTCAAATCCTGGCCTTAATTTTGTCTAGATGAGTCAATTAGTTTATGATTCGGGATCTGAGTGTGATATGGAACTTCAGGAGGCTTATGAAAAATTATTTGAAGAGAGTCTTCAAATTAAGAAGGTGGATAAAGTCGTGCTTAAAAAGGTTAATGCACTTGAATTAGAAAAAGAAAGCCTTATAGCCAAACTTGAAGAGTCGACTAGATGTTTGAATCAATTAAGGGTTGAGAAAGAGTCTTTAGAGGCTAAGGTTGAAACCCTCACAAGCGATCTTGAAAAATCTAATACTCAACTTCTTGCTTTCTCTAGTAGTTCTATGAAGCTAGATAACATTCTAGGAATGGGCAAGCCTACTGGTAATAAGGGAGGTCTAGGATATAATAAAAATGATCATAAAGTTGCTAGTACGTCCAAGACCACATTTGTCCCTGGTACTGACCAGCTTAACTATGTGCCTAACCATGAACCTAATAATAAGGGTATCGTAGGACAGAGGCCTACTAGACTGCGTAGGACCTACCAACCTAGGAATGAATATCAGCGACCACATAATTTTGATCCTAGGTTCATCCCCACGTGTCACCATTGTGGTAATGTAGGACATATAAGACCTAAGTGTCGCAAGCTATTGAATAGGAACACGACCAAGAATGTAGGTGTTCGAGGATAGAAATCATCGGTACAACATAGGTTTCGTCCACCTAAGGTTCAAAATTTGTAATCTAAAATTGTTCCTAAATTTATTCCTACTTGTTTTCATTGTGGTGAATTAGGACACATAAAGCCTAGGTGTCGTCATTTCCTAAATAGAAATAGAAACTGGAATTTAAATAGAAATAAGAATCAGGATTATGTTGATCAGATTGACCTTCTTACTAATCAGGTACGTAAATTGACCAAGATCATGACACAGATGAATAGAAATATTCATGTTACTAGGTAAGTTTGGGTGAAGAAGAGTGATCTGAAAAATTCTGAAATAGATCACGGTGCTCTTAAAGATAAGAGCATTTGCATACCTAACTGATTAGGTATTTTGGTTTGGTGCATGCTCATACTTTATCATTATATGACATAGATTTATGCATGCATCATTTTTTTTATTTGTTCTCATGCATTTTATTTTATCGTTGTGTTTCGTTTGAATTCGTATATTTTGTGTGCTTGGTGCATTCATATTTTTATACGAAAAAAAAACAAACAAAAACATTTTCTTTTATTTATTTGGTTTAAGTTTTTGTTTTGAGAAAAATAAAAATAAAAAGTGAGAACAAAAAGAGTTTGATTTGGAAATTGGTTTTACAGCATGATATACAATACACTTGATTTTGTGGGTGTTAATCAAGAATGAGTTTATTTGGTGAGCTGTAATATAATTTTCATTGCTAGTTTAGGATGCTTGTGGAGCATTTAATATAGGTCTCTTCATATACTATCTGCACTGCACACACTTTGATCTTGACAGTGGGACTCTACCGTATGTGTTAGATTTGGGATAGCAGTAACATGTTAGTAGGGTGACTTTTAACATGAATTGACCATTTTAATTAGACCTAAACTCGATTTTATCCCTGCATGATTCAATATTTGTCTAAGAAAAAAATTAAAGGAGCTCAATATTTTAATGCTACTTTTCGAAGCCTACTTGACTTGAGCAATTAAGCCTGCGGGATTTCTTATAACCTGGTGCCTATGGTCGTCTGACTTGGGTTAACCGACCTAAAACTCATTACAGGAGTTACGTTAGTCGCTTAATAAAGAGGAGCATGCACTTAAGATGAAAGAAATATATATTTGAGCATTTCTATTGTAAGTTGAGATGAATAAAATTATTTGTGATGTATGTCAGGGGGAGAAAAGAATTGATTTGAAGTAGGCTTTCATATGTAGGTTCTAATGTNCTCATATTCTTTGTTAGACATGAGCTTTAATGTAAAGGTTCTAGTGTGCTTTAAGGTTTGACTTTCATAAGTAGAAGAATATACTTATTAGCAATGATGTTTAGCATGTCATTTCTCACAAAATTAAGGAATGGAGTCTTCCTGTCAGAGGATTAGTGACACTTAACATATATGAGTCACTTATATCATTTACTCCACAGGTACTTTAAGTTGGAGTTGTGGGAAAATTTACTGTTCACTGCATATACTTGTGATTGCTTATACCTCCATTGTTGAGATGTTGTGTGATTTTGCTCCACCTCTTCGACATTTGTAACAAAGGGGGAGAGATTTTATTGTAAGGGGGAGATAGATCATATCATACACATTTATTGTTTGAGCAGCTACATTTATCATTT